AAGCTGTCGGAACCGTCTTTCGGTTGGGCCCCGGAATTGGGCTTCGACTTAGAAAAATGTGGATTGGAGTCGCCACCGATCATTTATTTAAAAATAAATGGGTTGACCGGGTACCTTATTTCTTACCTGATCTGCGTCTTACCAAAGATGTGTCGGATTCGGGAGTCGGTTACAGTCAAGGAAGGGTTGGCACCCTTGAACTGCCCTTTCGATACTATATAATTTCCAGTTGTCTTAAATTAAGAAAAATTGAAAGTTTAAATTTAAAGGTAAAAACAATGATCCAAGCTACTTACTTTAAATTGTTTTAAATTGCGCCCTTAAGAGAACCAAAAAACACATTAGATAAAAAGAATGAAAACGAAATAAAGAAAGCAAAATGGGAAAACAAATGAAATGATGAAAACAAAAGAAAAATAACTAAATAAAATAAACAAATAAATAAAAAAGGTAAGAATCATCAAACAGAAATGAGTAAATTACATAGAACAGAGGGAAAAATGATGTTAACAATGCAAAGAAAAAAAAATAATAAATAAACAAATAAACAACGGGGTTAAAAGAAAAAGGTAAAATAAGTAAATAAACGAATATAACAATTATGCATGTGGACAAAATGTGTACTGAGAAATAATAAAAATAATAAATCAAAGGTGTAATATAATAAAAAAAATTAGAATATAAAATACATAAGATAGTAATAACGAAATATATGTATTGTAATAATGATAATATAAACAAAGGGAATAGGAAGATAAAAAACGTACAAATAGTGTATATATAAAAATAACCAAAAAAATATAACCGATAAAAAATACAATTAATTATATATGCATACAAGTATAAGGACTGGTTTGAAAGAGAGATCCAGTTTGGGGTCGAAATTAAAAAACGTAAAAGTCAAATTTTGGGTCAGAATGAAAGTTTTGAAAAAGCAGAGGGCCAAACGGGAGTTTCCCCATTCTATTTTGAAAACGCGTGGATCTGGGGTGAAACCGAGTAGGCAAGCGGGTCTTAACCGACCCATGGGTCGTGCATATATGCTAACGCTTAGGGTTAATGCTTCATTTTCCCTTCTTCTCAAAAAAAACGTTCCCTTCTCCTTTAATATGTTCTCGCCTGTTCTTCAGAAATGAAGAACAGGGCCATGGTTCTTCGTGAACCCGTAAAACGCCACCATACGCCGCCTCGCCGTCACCGTTGAACGGCGCCGGCCGTCGTTCATCGGCGGTAAAACTCGCGTTTTTATATATTTTTTTTTGATCTCGAAAGCTTTTTGAAATTCCTTTCTAAAAACAAAGATTGTTTTTCAAAAATCGACTAAAAAAACGTAGATCTGAATTTTTTTTTTTTTTGAAAAACGAAGGGCCTCCCTCTCGTTCCTCGGCCGAATGGTTCTTGGTGGTTCAAAAACTCAACAATAATGGCATGCAAGCAGTGTAAGGGAACCGAATCGAAAAACAAAGGTAAAAGCGATACCTTTTATTTATTTCTCTTTCGAAATTTACAAGAGATTTGCTAGTTTCCTGTGTTTTCTTGTGTACCCTCTCGTAATGTTTGTGTATCTCGTGTGTGTGAGATTGTGTGAAAGTTACTGTGTATGGGCTCAAGTGTAAACTCTCTCTGTAAATCCCCTCCTCCTTTTCTTTTTTTTTTCCCTCCTTAAAACGGGTTTGATTACACTTATTTATAGTAAAAACCTATTTTGAGTCCTAATAGGACTCTAACATTTGTTGGTTGTGGATGAGCCTTGCGAGATTCTTGCGTCGTTGGTGGTGTTGATGGGGACGTTGGATCCGTGAAGTGCGGCTGAGGAAGACGTGATGAACCAGGGGACTTCGGGGCTTCTGGATGAGATGCAAGAAGCGACGGCGTGCTAGGGTTTTCTAGAAACCCTGATTTTTAGAACGGGTCTTGGGTTACACGTGATGTTGGTTTTGTTTGTGATGGGCCTGTATACAAACATGAAAAATACATAAGTATGCATATTAAATAATATAGTTAGTAACTATCATATAATATTTACAACAGATAGAATTTAGTGTCTTCACATAGTTATTTTATAAAAGTAAAATTACATTTATACTAGTATAAATAAGTTTAATTTTCTTATTAAGTCAGCCGACCAATGTTTACCATGGTTTCCAATTCCAAAGTCGGACGTCCCAAAAGAGGAGGAGGTGTGCGCATCAATCATTCGTGTAGTTAAATAAAAGCAAAGCCAATCAGTGTAGGCCATATGTGTCATTTTCTCTAATTTTGACTTTTTCTCAACATGACTGAGCCACCGGGTGAATTCACGAGATAATGTTCTCGATTTTTTTTTTCACGATATGGTGCACACACGAGATTAATTGTTGGAATGGGGTGAATTATACAGTGATCATAGGACGCCATGCAATCCAGGCGATCTTGTAGGACGCCATGCAATCCAGGCGACATACGGGAACATACGAGCCAATGGTTCTCCCCATGCATACGAGCCATACGAGCCAATGGTTCTCCCCATGCATACGAGCCATACGAGCGTTCTCCCCATGCGAGCCATACGAGCGTTCTCCCCATGCGAGCCCCATGCATACGAGCCATACGAGCGTTCTCCCCATGTGAGCCATACGAGCGTTCTCCCCATGCGAGGTGGTTCTCCCCATGCATACGAGCCATACGAGCCAATGGTTCTCCCCATGCATACGAGCCATACGAGCGTTCTCCCCATGCGAGCCATACGAATATGTTACGCACATCAACAAATAATTCAATAACTGCTATATTGGTTGACTCATGTAATCCAACCATGGTTCCAATATCATCATCTTCTTCAAGTGGAACTGCAGCATATCTGACTGGGTTAGAGCATATCATAAACCTATACCTCAAACCATCCACTGCAGCTCGAATTTTTCTTTCTATCTTATGCTTCATTTCTATAAATGTGATGTCTTTTTTGAACATCATATTTATTGGTTTTTGAGACTGAAAAACTACTCCGACCTCATTTTCCATAATCTGTCCATTATAATGGACAATCGTGAAAAAGTTGTTGCTCATTTTCTCTACAAATAAAAAAAATAAATTAATTTAGATTAAAAAATTAGATAAGATAATTTCATAAATTATTAAATATAATATAATATACTATTATATTAATGATCAAATAAAAGTTATTATTTAACTTGATTGATTGCTTACTAATAAACCTAATAATGATTTGATAATTACTATTAATCTAATGATTGATATTTAATGATTTAATAATATATGATTTAGTCATAATCACTAATAATTATTTATTATAAATATTTAATGATTTAGATTTGATACTAATCATTTAGTAATTATTACTAATAATAATGATTAGTTTGATAATATTTTTTTTTAAAAATATCAAACAAATTTGTTAGGCAAAACTGTCGAGATAATGTTCTCGAAATAATTATTTCGCGAGATAATGCGTTGTCCGGATTATTTCATTCAATTAATTTTTACTTCTTACTAATATACACATACAATGTAAATTAAACAAAATATTTTTAAAACAACACTAAATATTTTTAAACACAATATTTTTTAAAACGGAAATTATCTCGCACAAATTAGTTTATATAATCTAATATAAACTTACTAACTAACTAATTTACACATACACAACAACAACAAAATGGACAACAAAAAATAATAAATTACTCACGTCTTTATGCCTTCTTCCTTTACTTTCTTTTCCTTCCTTGTTTCTTTCTTCGAATCAATCTGTACGTGGGCAAATATTGTAAAATAATGTCATGTATGTGTAAACAAAATATTTATTTAAACAACAATAGCTCCCACAAATTAATTTTATATAATCTAATATATTATAATATACCTTAAACTAATAAACTATTTCTTTATTATAATATAACTTAGTTAAAATAACAAACTAATTAAGCACTAATTAATTTTTTTATAATATAACTTCAACTTCAACGAACAACCTAATATACGTTTAAAGACACTAACAAATTAATTAATATTTTTTATATTTAATAACTTAAACTAAGAAACTAATTAACTAATTTTTTATATAATATAATATATAACTTAAACTAATAAACTAATATAATATAACTTAAACTAACAAACTAATAATTTATACTAACAAACTAATTAACTAGATTTTAGTTTTAAGCTAAACCCGAAACTAACAAACTAATAATTTCATATAATAAACTAAATTAAACAATAAAAAAATTACCTCAACTATGTTTGAGCCTTTATCTTCTTTCTCTCGACAAAATTTATATGTGCTGGTTCTGCTTGTGCTTCTACCCTATACCCCATATCCTTTATATAAAGCAACTGAGCGTTAACTATTGAGCATTGAAAGGCTCACAGCTAAATTAACGCTGCAATAACGTAATTATAGATGCAACACATACAGAGCTACGGGTGCAGGAATCTCTGAGCTATGAGCTATGATGCAACGCATGCATGCAGCTACAGGACCTTGGTCGCCGAGACTCCATGGCGACCTACCTACCACCGTCACCTACACCGTTCGCCGTGCATATCCATGCACAGTTCCCACGTCCAATGCACCATCCCCTCCCCCATGCATTCCCACGTCCCATGCATCCCCTCCCCCATGCATTCCCACATCCTATGTTGATCCCTCCCCCATGCATTCCCACCCCATGCATCCCCTCCCCCATGCATTCCCACGTCCCATGTTGATTGCATGGCGACCTATTCCTTTGTAATACACACAGGTCGCCCGGATGCCATGGCGACCTTCAAGGTCGCCCGGATGCCATGGCGACCTCCAAGGTCGCCCGGATGCCATGGCGACCTCCAAGACCACTGTATAATTCACCCCATTCCAGCAATTAATCTAGGATGTGCACCATATCGTGAAAAAAAAAAATCGAGAACATTATCTCGTGAATTCACCCCTGAGCCACACCCTCTCTCCCTCTATATAACCACCCTTTGCTTCTCATCGTCGCCACAACTACTCCTTTCATCTTACCATTGCGTTCAGAGCTTTTTTCACTTTCTCTCAAACAATGTCTCTCCCGATAATACAAGGGAAAACACTCTCTGATGCCTGGAACTATAGGGGAAAACCCGCCGACCGCTCCAACTCCGGTGGCTGGACCAGTGCTGCCATGATTCTAGGTCTTTACATTCTTTAGTTTGTGCTTTGCTTTGAATTCTTATATACTTTTGGTTTGGACCTAATTAAGCATATGGGGTTTCTCAGGTACTGAAGCATGTGAGAGGCTAACCACGTTAGGTATCGCTGTTAATTTGGTGACGTATTTGACTGAGACCATGCATTTGGGCAGTGCTACCTCAGCCACCACCGTCACCAACTTCCTAGGCACCTCCTTTTTGCTCTGTCTGCTCGGTGGTTTCGTAGCAGACACTTTTCTTGGCAGGTTTGCCGGCTTCTCCGACTCTCGAAACATTTTCTAGTTTCTACAGTACTTTCCCATGCACCAGCTCAGTTAAGTAAATAACTTTTATGAATTCTCTCCTGTTCACAGATATCTAACCATCGGAATCTTCGCCACCGTTCAGGCAACCGTAAGATTCATACCCTTAATGAAGAATTTACCCGATAACTAAAACGTCCACTTTTAAAGCTAAAGCTGATTTTTTTTTTACGTTGCCGATCAGGGCGTCACCATCTTGACAATCTCAACAATAGTCCCAAGTCTAAGGCCTCCAAAATGCAACAGGGACGGTTCAACAGCTTGCACCCCAGCTAGCGGCATGCAACTCATTATTCTCTACTTAGCACTGTACATGACTGCCCTTGGCACCGGGGGACTCAAGTCCAGTGTCTCAGGGTTCGGGTCAGATCAATTCGACGATTCGGACCCCGAAGAAAAATCCCGGATGACAAACTTCTTCAACTGGTTCTTCTTCTTCATAAACATAGGCTCGCTCTGTTCAGTCACCATCCTGGTGTACATCCAGGACAACTTAGGGCGTGAATGGGGGTACGGTATCTGTGCATGTGCTATCGTGATAGGGTTGGTGGTATTTCTATCGGGGACAAGGCGGTACCGTTTCAAGAAATTGGTGGGCAGCCCACTAACCCAAATCGCCGCCGTGTTTGTCGCTGCCTGGAAGAAGAGACATTTGGAGTTGCCATCTGATGCGTCGCTGCTTTTCGAAATTGATGATGCAGCTGAGGGACTGAAGAAGAAGAAGAAGAAGAAGAAGAAGAAGCAAAAGTTGCCCCACAGCAAAGAGTACCGGTTAGTAACTAGCAATTTTCTTCTCTAAATGTCAATTTTAGCATAATATTTAAAACAAGAGGTATATATATTTAGTATATGAATAAAAAAAGAGATCACGAGCCACCGAACCAGCTGTTCCCTAATCGTTCATCACGAATCTTGTCTTCGAAACGATTAATTTACACCTCCCCCAGTTAAAGGGTCAGACATGTTGGCTTAGTTGTCCAAAGCCTGTTCACTTGCCTTCCATCACGCTCTGTTAATACTAACCAGTTCTTTTGTAACACTTGCTTTTAGATTCTTTATTGCTTCATATTGATCATAATCATAAACATGGAATTTTGTACAGTTTTTTGGACAGGGCAGCGGTCAAGGATCCATCTGTTGCCGAGGCAAACAAGTGGAACTTAGCTACCTTAACAGATGTTGAAGAAGTGAAATTGGTGATAAGAATGTTACCCATTTGGGCAACCACCATAATGTTTTGGTCCGTCCATGCCCAAATGACAACCTTTTCAGTGTCTCAAGCCAATACCATGGACCGTCACATGGGCAAATTCCAAATCCCACCTGCATCACTCTGGGTTTTCTTCATCGGTAGCATTCTCTTGACAGTCCCAATCTACGACAGAATCATTGCTCCAATTACCAGAAAGTTTCTTAAGAACCCACAAGGTTTAACCCCTTTGCAAAGGATTGGTGTTGGTTTAGTTTTGTCCATTATTGCAATGATAGCCGCTGCACTTACCGAGATAAAGCGGTTGAAAGTCGCAAGCTCACATGGTCTTACGAACAACCCATCGGCTCAAATCCCGATGACGGTCTTCTGGCTGATCCCCCAGTTTCTGATAGTGGGGTCTGGGGAGGCCTTTATATACACAGGGCAGCTCGACTTTTTCTTAAGGGAGTGCCCTAAAGGGATGAAAACAATGAGCACGGGTTTGTTTTTGAGTACCCTTTCATTGGGGTTTTTCTTAAGTTCTTTGTTGGTGACCATAGTTCACAAGGTGACTGGAACCAAGCATCCATGGCTCCCAGACAATCTGAATAAAGGGAGGCTCTATGATTTTTACTGGCTTCTGGCAATTATGAGCTGTTTGAACTTGGTAATTTACTTTGTTTTTGCTAAGCGGTACGTGTACAAGGACAAGAGACTTGCTGATCATGGGATTGAATTAGAAGAAGCAGAGCCTACCTTCCATTAACGTGAAAACAAGAGACTTGGAGTGGAACAAAATCACTTTCATTAAGATTTTGTGTTTGTAACTTTGTAATATAAGTCCTTCGTTGGACGTTCAAATAAGTTTGGAACGCCCTTTGCATGTACAAAATGGATGTGATGGGAAAGAAGAAAGTCAACCAAAAGGAAGAAAAAAAGTATGTATATATATATATTTGCTTTTGTTTGAAAACGATAAGTTGTATGAGTGGCAATACAGGATAAGGTAGGCAAGAGTGACCTTTCGTTCATCTGAAAAGTGGGGAAAATGCATATTCTATGGTTATGGAATTAATACAAATATTATTTAAACTTTCCATTATCATCCATGCAACTCCTTAAAAAATATATGACACAATAACAATCAATGAAGATCGCATGTTGGAGCAATCACGTAAGGATAAATCCTGGGCTATTTTGTAAGCTGAAAGTAAAATAACGCGAAAATCAATATAATATAAGTATTGTACAAAATATAAGATATAATGTAATTTGATTTATTTATCTTTTACATTCAATAATAAGATAAATAAATCTTAGTAAAATATAAAGATCATAAAAACTAAAAGTTAATGAAACCACTTATTCCTTATAATTCAATATATATATATATATGTGTGTGTGTCAAAAATCCACTAATGAGTTTAATCGTTAAATTTTTTATTATTAAATAAACTTAAATACTAAATAATTTATTATTATTATAATTATAATAAAATATAATTTAATTTTTAATTGATTTTTAATTAAACTTTGAATTAATATCTACCGTCCTATTTATTCATTGTCGGCTAGTTGGGCAAACATGAATGCGGATCATCCATCCAGTTGTGTTACTGATATTTATCTCCACTCCCCAGCTTGGTACACAATTAATTTTTTTATTTATTTATAAAAAAATATTATACAAATAAGACCCAAATCTCTTTCTTTCTTTCTCATTGTGATAATTTTGTGGAACCCATAATAATTTAAGAGACACTGTCGGTTTAGCTGGTGTATCAGTATTGTTTCTCTGTATTTAATCTTAATGAAAAATAGTGCAATTCATAAAAGTTCTATAAGCAATCTTTTATTAATGACTTTTAAAATAATACATAAATAATTTATTTATTTTATTTAATATATAAAGAAATGTGGTTAAAATACTTTTTGTTATTTTAAAAAGTAGCACGAACCAAACAATCTTGGTGGTAAATTAATTGTTGCTATTCTTTGAGGTCTCAAGTTCAAGAACCACGAATGACAGGGGTGTAAGCATTTGAAAGTAATCTTTAAATATATATCATCTTGTACTTACCCAGATTAATCAAAATAAAAAAAAAATTAAAAGTAATTTGTTGTGGTAACTCTTAAAGAGTTTAAAAGTAATATCACATTGGAAAGGGAAATATTTTTGGATGGGTTTACAATGAGTTTTTCATTTCTTTCCTGGTTGGATGTGGAATGACAAGTCTCTCGTACATACGTCAACGTCGCCATCCAATTCATGTTTGTGTAATTACATGTATTTGACACATACAACACGTTATCCTTTTAGTAAAAATCTGCGAGAATTTCTTTTAGAATTGTAAAACCAAAATGAAACCTTCTTAACCGCTATCAATCACAACATATTTTCTGGAATTCTTGTATGTTGTTTTTATTAGATTGATTGTGAATTGTCTACAGTATTCATTTCGACGTTTTACTGGTTTTGTAATTGTTATAGTTGATTAATCCTCATTTTATACTGGTGGTCTTAGCTTTTAAATGTCAAATGTTTTCAACATTTTCAACGCACTGCAAAAACCATTTCTCTCTCATCGTTTTTACTCTCAAAAGCCCTTTGCTTTCTTTCAAGTTATGTTCCTTAGAGAAAAGCAGTAACGTCTAAGTCCGTTCTAATTTTCACGTGCATGAATTTTTGAAGAGATCATGTTAACTTCGAGAAACATTCATATATTATAGTGGTTACATATATTAAGACAAATTCGTTTCTAAAATAATAGTTTATCACGATACGGATTTTGTGATGTTCTTTATTATTTGTTTAAATTGTCATGTTAGTAATCTCTACCAAAATTTTACGAACTGCAATCAGAGTTGCTGCATTATTGTTGGTACAACGATAACCCAAGAAGTGATTCCATACAAGGCAATTACACAAAATTGTCTTGGAAAGGAATATGTTACCGAGTTTCTAAGGTCAAAGAGTAACTTCTACATGTCTATCTGCACAAAAACAGAAATAGAATTACCAAGTTTCTAAGAGTTATCTAGAATGACCGATTTTCTCTACTGCGTGCCTGTTTAGTTTTTAGTGGTTCGAGACGAACATAGAATTAGGTACTTAACAACAAGTACTAAAAAATTAAATCATAAAAACAAGAAAAAACTATTCAATAGTAAATAAACATTAAGAAATTTTATTAGACATCAAACTACTCACACAAAACAAACATGATTCTCTTTTAAGAAGGTACATATTAGATGTTAACTTATCTTGTCAAAAAAATAATAAAAGAATAATTAAGTGGAAAGTAAAAAAAAGTAATTTAAAAATACCATATCATCATCGCTGTTAATTTTTTAATTGTGGGTAATGAAAGATATATAACGTTAAGTATGATTTTGGAAAAAAAATTGGATGATTAAAACATAAATAAGATAATAAATAAATAGTTTATCTTTTTCTAATTATACGTGAATTTATAATTTTGGGTCTGACTCCTGGGCAAGTGTCCCTCTTGACTAGGCTCAGAGACATGCCTGTCTACCTGTTAGTCCGATAAGACCTTTAAGAAAAACTCTATAAATTTCTAATCAGCAAATAACGAGAGATGATTTGTATACATGTTAATAATATTTGGTATCCGCAGGTCACCTTGGATCAATCAAAGGGGATCACAATTATTGAAACAAAAGGCACATGGGACTAGGAAATACATACCGAAGTATATCTGCTTGTTAACCAAAGTATTTGATTAAGAAATACATACCCACTTATTAAACAATCAAACCTTGAGGTGTGAAATAATGATGATAGCATACACATTTATAACTAGAATCGTGATTTATAAAGGTTGATACGAAAGCTTCTCTGCCAAAGGAGGTCAGTCTGATTTTATAGAGCTAATTGTATGACTAGGTTGATGATTTACACGAGGAACTAGGCCACTAACTTCATCAATTAACAACAAACCATGCTGTGTTCATAAAAATAATCAACTTCCTCATCCAATCAGTAACTAAAATACCTTCAAAATGTGAAAATGGATGCCAAAGCTCATTTGCATAGCTGATCGACGAATATAACCATGCGCAACGTAAAGCTTGATGAAGCAAAAGAGACGTATGCAAACATTTCTCAAGCTTAGAAATTGTACACAAAAACCAAATTTTGAAAGCAATCCATAAATATATGATTCGCTTAAAATGCATAATTGCAATTTGAATTATCAAAATTTTACATCAGTTGCCATAAAGCAAATAATCCACTCCCCTCATGTAAAAAGTACAAACTTTGGCAACAAGAAGCAACCCCATACCTCTGAGAACGCTTCCTAGAACCTCAAATACCGAAACGCGACAATCCCTTCAAGCGCCCCGCCAAAACGTCGAAAAGGAAATGCCTTCCAAGTAGAACCCTTGAAGTAGCAGTCATTATAGCCCAAACCCATACGCCTAACAGAACGAAACCGGGTTCAATTTTCAACCAGCGTTGAATAAAATCCAAATAATAATCTTTTTCGCGAAATAAATTTATTCCTAACATTTTTTTTTTCTGTCACACTGTTTGTTAAGTGGTCCACTTATGTTTGACGCCAACAACGATAATTTCAACACCAACTTACAAATTTGCATTTTGATTTGCGTTGTGTTGAGACAAATGCCTGTCTTGTTTTTAAATTCTCAATTCTTGGGTAAGTAACTCTCTACTCACTGCTTTTTTAATTTCTTTAGCACATTATTTGCTTCGTTTTCTTTTTCCAAAATTTCATAAACGGGCCTGGACCCAGTATTCTCGGTGGAGAACAGCAAATAGAAGAAAGCTGCCTTCGGTTTCCTATTTCTGCTAATATTTTAAAATGTTTGCAACAACGACATTGTTGAGCACCAAACCAACATTATCACCAACACGTCTCCTGTTGCACCATGTGCAATTATATGTTTTTATCCATCAACATAACCATATACCAATTACACTTGTCTTAATAATTAATCAAACAAAACCATATAGTGATTTGTCAGTGAAGTTCTTAAAACTTTATCCAAACCCAAAAACAGTCATTTTGAAAGTACATAACAAAATTGGTCATCATCTTGAGGACATTTACAGTGTCAACTTGAGTCTGAGTCAGTGAGTTTTGCAGGTGAAAATCTTTGTTATTGATATTAAAACTGGGTAAATTGTTGGAATAAATCTGAAACACAAGTCCAGACAAAGCCTGACTATTTGTTTCATTTAAATATGTGGTCATTCAAGCCAAATTGGTCTTCTTCTTCTTTCACATTACCACACACAAAACAGTCATCCACGATTTGCAATTAATTTTGCCCGAGGAACTTGTGAAACTGTCTTGTCTTCCTTTTTTAAATTAACTTATCCCTTCAAACAAAGTCTTGATCTTGTCTTTTCCCTCTCTCTTTCATGCAACTACTCATTTAAAAGAGAGTTTTTTAGACTTTAGGGCTCATCTTCGAACTGTATCGATGCCGCATATATACGTCTAGTTAATTAGGTGGTAACCGTGGAAGGGGACCCTTGTCGTTTTCGACAATGGCTCCGGAGGGCTTGGTCAGAGTCAGTACAAGCTTTTGATGGACCACCTTTGTAAGAGGCCGACCATGTCCGGTGGTTTTGGTCCATTCGTACTCGCCCATGGAATAGTGTCAACAATTTTCAAGTGAAAAGAGTTTGTTTGAAGTAAGTTTTTCACTTAAATGCTGTTGCAATGTCTTGTTAGACATGTAAAACATTGACCATAGGTACAGAAATGGTCCCATGTTAATAGGATAACATTCAATTTATGAGGTGTTTTTTATTGGACAAAATTATTTTCATCTTCAAGTTGGACAAATATCTCGTAATGAACAAAGCTCGATAGTCTTTACATTAACTATCGTGTTGTCTGCGGAACTCATTTTAGATATGTTCAATCCTTAAAAAACATATCATACAATGAACGTGGTTGATGCAAAGATCACTTAGTTATGAATTC